ATGTAATCCCATTTGGGAATTGGGTTTTCTTTTTCATGTTAATGTGGCCATATTAGGGTAGGGTGTATTTTAAGCCAATAACTTTTGAGATATAAAAGGAGATTAGGCACACAGGTGGGGAAAGGTAGATGCCACACCACGTGAAGATCACCAAGGAACCGAGGAACAGAAGCTGAAAAGAGACAAGGACCTTCCCCCAGAGCCAACAGACAGAACGCCTTCCCCTAGAGCCTGTGTCCTGAATTTGGACTTCCAATCTCCTAAACTGTGTGAAAATAAATTTCTGTTCATTAAAGCCACCCACTTGTGGTATTTCTGTTATAGCAGCACTAGATAACTAAGGCAAAATTATATATGTAGATATGGATACAGATATAATAAAATTTGCCATTTTAACCACTTTTGAGTGTACAATTCAGTGACATTAATTACATTCACCATGTTGTACAACGATCACCACTATCTCTCTGAAACTTTTCCATCACCCCAAAAAGAAACTGCGTACCCATTAAACAATAACTCCGCATTTCTCTTCCCCACAGGCTCTAGGAACCACAAATCTACTTTAGTCTTTATGCATTTGTCTATTCTAGATATTTAGTATAAGTGGGGTCATACAATGTTTGTCCTTCTGTGTCTGACTTATTTCACTTAGCAAGTTTTCAAGGTTCATCCATGTCATAGCACGTATAAGAACTTCATTTATTTTAAATTTTTGATATTTTGTTCATATAGATTCTTTGCATTAATTTTGATGTTTTTTAAAATATTATAATAAAATATCATTTATTTGGTGTCATGGACTGAATTGTGCCCCCCCAAAATATCTGTCAACTTGGCTAGGCCATGATTGTCCACCATTTTGTCATCTGATGTGGTTTTCCTATGCGTTGTAAATCCTATCTCTATGATGTTAATGAGATGGGATTAGCAGCAGTTATGTTGATGAGGCAGGACTCAATCTACAAGATTAGGTTGTGTCTTAAACCAATCTCTTTTGAGATATAAAAAAGAGAAGCGAGCAGAGAGACATGGGGCCTCATACCACCAAGAAAGCATCTCCAGGAGTGAAGTGCATCCTTTGGACCCGGGGTCCCTGCGTGGAGAAGCTCGTAGACCAGGAGAAGACTGATGATAAGGACCTTACCCTAGAGCTGACAGAGAGAGAAAGCCTTCCCCAAGAACTGGTACCCTGAATTCAGGCTTCTAGCCTACTAAATTGTGAGAGAATAAACTTCTGTTTGTTAAAGCCGTCCACTTGTGCTATTTCTGTTATAGCAGCACTAGATAACTAAGACATCTGGATACTGAGTTTTTTGATGCCCCCTTATATTCCACACCCAAGGCAAGTGCCTCATTTGCCTCACCATAGTCCTGGTCCTACCCCAAACATAACCCTTTCTACATTTGTCAGCCTTCTCTGCTAGACTATCAGTGTCCAACATAGCACAGAGGCTAGCACAAGGTGGGGCTTCAACATTGTTTTGTGGAAGGAACAAAAGAAGGAAGAAAGGAAAGAAAGGAGGGAGAGACGGAGGGAGGAGGGAAGGAAGGGAAGAGGGAAAGGAGAAAGGGAGAAAGGGAAGAAGGAAGAAAAATAACTAATGATAATAATGATGATAATAGCTAATATCTTAACATTTATTGAGTGTTTATTATGTAGCAGACACTGGGTTAAACACTACCTATTTAATCTAACAATCCAATAATAAAAATATTATCCCAGTTTTACAGTTGAGGAAGTTGAGGCATACAGAGACAAGTGAAATATAATGCATAAGTGATTATAGCAGAACTTGGAGCAATTTCTAAAACATCTCTTGCTTTGATTATCTCTCTTCCACACATGGGGATGAGATGAGAAAGAAGAAGAGGAAAAATGGGAGAAGAGGTGAAGAAACAGATTTAACAGAAGAAACAAACTATCACAGTTTCATATCAATTATTTCCCTTGAGCTTCACTACAACCCTGGGCATTATTCACCCCACTTTACAGAAAAGAAACTAAGACTCAGAAAGGTTAGGGGACTTACTAGAGCTCATACTGCTGGTCAGCAGCAGCCAGTGAGTAATGGGAACGTGGGCGGACTGGCTGGCTGGCTGGCCGGCTGGCCAGCAGCCCTGGCAAGTTTGAGATAGCTTCCTCCACAAACTTTCCCTGCTAAGTGGAGCCCACACTTGGCCCCAGTAGGCAGGTCTCCCTCATTCTGCTCCATCCAGAGGCAGGCATCCCCTCACGAGGGACTGTGTGCGGAAGGAAGAGACTTTGACAAGGGCCAGAGCTGACGTCAAGAGCCTAGCAGAGCTGCCTTGTCTCGCTTGCTTCAGTTGATCTGCTCCCCACCATATTTCCTGTCTTGCTGCTGGGGAAACCCCCTGAAGGAGACTGACATGTAAAGCGAAACTCAGAACACCCAAAAACAGAATCTAAAATGGCCAAAAATAAAAATAAGACTGTGAGATAAAAACAAATTCCCAGGACTTCCTGAGGAGCAGTCATCTTGAGTCTTATCTTTGCAGCTTGGGGAGTTTTGGCATGACCTGTAAAAGAGTTTAATGATGGGAAGAGTTTCAGTCATGAATATGCATAGATGATTTCTGGAGAGAGACCCACCTTTTCATAGTGCTTGTTTTTTTTTTTCAACCACGTGCATATATAACTTTTTCACTTAAAGAGATCAATTCTTTTTTAAGTGGACTGCCACCAGTGGCAGTTGAGGTCACAGTCACCATTCTGCAGTGACTCTTCCCAGCCCTTCCTGGACCAATGGGAGAGGAGCCTGCACCATCCTTCCTGCTGGGAAAGAACACCTCAGTGCATGACACATTAGGGGTGGGTCACATAATCCTGCAAACTACATTCACCTCCAAATTAGGCAGCTGATTATTCTGAGGACTCAAAGTCACGTTTAAAATCAGAGTCACACACAAAAAAAGACCAGATTTACTGGCCTAAAGGAGACTGGAGAAACCCCGAGAGTATGGCCCCCAGACACCCTTTTAGCTCAGTGGTGAAGTCACTTCCGAGGTTCACCATTCAGCCAGGGAGTGGACAGCCCCATAAAACCAAATGGGACTAATGAGGCACAGCAGTCCAGGGACAAGGACTAGAAGGCAGAAGGGGACAGGAAAGCTGGTGATAGGGAACCCAAGGTTGAGTAAGGATAACGTTGATGTGTTGTGAGGTTGTTAACCATTGTCATAGGGCAACATGTGTACTAACTGTTTAATGAGAAACTATTTTGTTCTGTAAGCCTTCATCTAAAGTGAGAATAGCAGCACAATTGGAAGAGCGTAGTCGATGTCACTGAACTGTGCATGAGAAATTTTTTGAAATGGTGTATCTTTGGCTATGTATATTAAAAACAAAAAAAAAAATTGTTAACCAATGTCATAAAACAATATGTGTACTACTGTTTCATGAGAAACTATTTGTTCTGTAAACCTTCACTTGAAGTACAATAAAAAAAATAAAAAGTAAAATAAAATCAGAGTCTGCTGAGGTAAAATCCGATGAGTAATTTGCATCTGGAATGCGGAGCACACAGCACAGACTGATACTGCTTCCTTGGAAAGCTGGGCACAGCCCTCTCAGGAACTCCAGGCTGAGGTTAGTAGTCATAGACCTCTCCTGAGAAAGAGCTGAGGCTGCAAGTCCAGCCTAGCCCATCACCCCCAGGCCAGTTTGGGCTGTGATTAAGGCACAAGGCCCTGAGGATCCCACAGCAGAGTTAGAGGAAGGATGGAGCAAAGACGGTAGGCTCAGACCTGCCGAGGGAGGCAAAGTTCTAGGGAGATGTTCACCCTTCACCATCGCCCTGAGCAAGCTCTTCGTCCCCATGCTCCGATGGCCTCTCCAGACTTCATCACTGGACCATCTCTGGCCTCTGGCAAAACATCTTCTTTGGAATGGCTCAATTCTACCATGTGGTCCAAGTTCCTACCACAAAATTAATTCCGTTACTAAATAGGAAGTTTTCAAATGATCCATGCTGTTTTTTCTATCACTGAGATAAGGGCCCAAAAGATTAAATTACAGAACTTCAGAACTGAACAGGGCCGATGAGCAGGCAGGGGCCCTAGCGGGGTGATTCAGGCACAGGTTCAGGAACTGAATTTACTTGGATATTAATTCCAGCCCCGCTGCTACTAGCTCCGTGGATCTCAAAGCTAAGGGAGCACCAGAATCACCTGGAGGGCTTTAAAAAACACAGGTCGCTGGGCCCCACCTCCATAGTTTCTGATTATTTAATCTGGGGTGGGGCCCAAGAATCTTTATTTCTAACAAGTTCCCATGCTGCTGGACCAGGGACCACACTTTAACAAGCACGCTCCAGCTGTTTAACCAGCCACCTCGCACGTATATTCGGGATAATAATGGTAGGTATCTGCTGGGGTTTACCTGAGATCTGGCACGTGAAGCCGTTACCACCGTTCGTGGCTATTGTTGTTGGATGGGAGGGAGGAGTCATTTGACCAACACTACCCCGCAAATGAGAAGCAAACCTGGGACCGGGCCCCGGCGCTGCTCACCGCCCGGCTGCGTTTTTCCCTCCAGCGCAGCTGCCGCCGGCTCTTAGCGTATGCGCGGCGCTGCCTCCGAGCCCGCGCGCTGCATGTTGCGCTTCCGCCGCTGGCTCTGCTAACGACGCCTGTCGCTTTTTGGGTGGCTAGGGCCGTCCAATCTTTTTCGGCGCTAAGAACCAGGCCGCGGAGACTGGCACTTCGGGGTGGGCTGAGATCTGGAGGAGCTCGGCTCCTAGCAGTGGCGGCGCGGGTGGGGTACATGGGGCGCCCTAGGAGGCCCTAGGACCCGCTGGGCGCCCCGGAGCGCTCAGCGGCGCTCCCCGGCGCGGAGGACGGGCCCGCAGGCGGGCGGGCGGCTGCACCTGGC